CTCGATGACGCAACAATATTTAGCAGAATAGCTGTGGATAGCTTTCCAGTTTTGTATTTTTGTGTAGACTGGTTTTATCTGCTCCAGTAGACGATGACTTGTTTTGATATAATATTGGAAGGGTAGCCTTTTATTTTATTTTTTACTACGAAGTGTAGATACTTTATCTCGGTGTTGAGAAACTCGAGGTACAAATTTCAAGTGTTGTTGAGGAACTTGAGGTCATAAATTTCGGATGCCCTTTTTAAAACAGTTTCAAATACCATGGTTAACTGATGGTGGATTGTACGAGCTGTAATTGAGATATTAGTCTCTGCGTATTAGTTTTCTGTAAGTTTTAGTGGGAAGATTTTATTTATTTTTGTTGACTAGGATGTCAAGAAAAGGTAATTTCCCTTTGTTTCGACTTCTACTGTAAACTGAGTGGAGAAGTACCGATTAAGGAAAAAACATTAAGCTTTTTATGATCATGGCCGCAGATTACAAAAGTGTCATCAATATAACATAACTAGGGTAAAGGTTTGTATAATGCAGTGTGTAAAACACCGTTCTCTAATTCTCGCATGAAATATTCAGAGGTAACATGGATAAGACGAGAACTCATTGGTGAACAATCCGTCATATTGTAAGTAAGACTTTTTCAAATGAAATACGATGCTGAAAGATAAGTTTTTATTATTTCATTTATAGACTGGGCTAACAGTCAATAGCCAATCTCAATAGCCAGAGATTCTTAAACTATAAAAATTCATTCTTCAGAAGCAACAATTAAAATAATATCGAACTGGTCTATAAATTGGCAAACAATGACTTATAAGCATAATGAAGTAGTATATTTTGAGGGAACATACTACATATTTCGACATAGCCTTCCTATAGTTGTCAGTCACATATTCTTTTCAGTGTTGTATTTGTAACAAAACTGCTCCAACTGCAAAATCACTGGCATCTGTATCTAAAATGAGTAGATCTTCCAGAGTCAAGTTTGCTAATACACGAGTAGTGGTCAATTCTTTGTTCAGTTTTGGGAATGCCTGTACACAATCAGCAGTCCAGCAAAATATATTTGGTTTTCAAGTGATGTATATAGAAAATGAGCTACGTCAGAGAATGGTTTTACAAAAGGACAGTGGTAGTAGTAAGGTTCCAGAAATCCTCTTAACTGATGCAGATTCTTTGTTGTTAGTCAATTCTGAAAAGGGTCAGTCTTAGATGGATCTGTAGACACTCCCTCTATACTGACTATGTGTCCCAAGAAACTTACCTGTTGATGGAACAGTCCATACTTGGGATTCGGTTTAAGGTTCTCTTTCTTCAACTGATACAGAACTTTCCTTATCCCATCATAAGTATCATCAAAAGGATTCTCATGTGTGATGACATCCAAGTTGATGAGCGCGACGTTCGAGGATAGATCAAACAGAGCACACTCTATTAAACGTTAAAATGTAGCAGATGTATTACTTAATCCAAAGGGTAACAAAACAAATTGACACAATTCACTTCCTGCACTAAAAACTGTCATCACTTTACCTGTTTTGTCGACTTGAATTTGCCAATATCCAGTCTTCAGATCCAATGTTCGAAACAATTTTGATAGAAAAAAGAGCATCCAAAATGTCAATATTTTGCAAGTAGACATCCTTCGTTGTGACTTCATTCATCTTTTGGTAGTCCACAGAGAATTTTGTGGATCTACCTTTCCTCTTAACAAGTACAATAGGGGATGTTCAAGGATTAGTACTCAGTTCTAATACTCCTTATTCCTTCGTGACCTTTACCTTATTAAAAGCCTTAGCCTGTTTTTCAAGTGGAAGTCTTCTGACTAATTGATGTATTGGGGTTACTTCTCCTCTATCAAAGTATGAGATATTTTACTGGTTTGGTTTAATGTCATCAGGTCCCTTGGAGAAAGTATCTTGATATTCCGTGCGCATACTATGCAATTACTGTAAGGCCTTCACAGCTATGACCGTACAAGTATTTTAAGTGAGGTAGTAAACTGTCTTTGTGTAAGGGTTTGACATTATACTTTCTATATCATTCCTCAAAGGTGACTACTTATGATGTTCTTTGATGTAAATGTACTACCTGTACAGCCTCACATAT